TATATATATATACTAATATTCTTTAATTGTATATCTTTGAGTTTACACATTATTTTCTTATCATTCCTATTTAATATTTTCTGATTTGCATCTCCATTTCATGTATAAATAAGTTTATACTTATTACTATTTCATATATAAATAAGTTTATACCCCTCATCTTTTCCTTCAAATATTCACATATATGTGCCTGTATTTCCGATATTATGGCATTATTTTATTCATCACTATATTTCACCATATAATTCTCATTAATATTTTCATTACTATTATTATATTATTATTATATCATTATTATTATTATTATTATTATTTTCTTTATTATTATTATTTTCTTTATTATTATTATTTTCTTTATTATTATTATTTTCTTTATTATTATTATTTTAATGTAACTATTTATTCTGTAAGAATTAGACGACCGTAAGCGGTCATGAAAGATATTCGGAATATAAACACTAACAGAGAGGAGCCGTCGTAGTCGTGCAGACTAAGTGTCGGATTGGTAGACGAGGGATCCCGAGTTCAAATCCAGTCGGTCTCCGTTAATTTTTTCCAAATCTAATAGATATCTTTCAATCTTCCGTTACATAATATTTTACATTTAATATTTTACAATAATCAAAGAAATCATTTCTTTCTGTCATATTAAATAACTTTGAATCACAATTTCACAACTAATTACGCTAACAATCATAACTTTACACATCTGTTCTTTTTGATTGAACTGGTTATATTATATACTAGTTCATAGTTTAGAACTGGCTGTACTAATTCATAGTTTATCTTTCTTTCTTACACTGGAAGAAGAAAGATAAACTCTGAATTAGTACAACTAGTTCAGCTAAAAAGAACAGACCCATTGAATGGCATTGTACGTAGTCTATTGAATACTACAGATGCGTTTCTGAACGCAATCTCTATATATATATATATATACAGGGTCCCAAACTCTCGCATTTGGAGTACACTACATGATTCTTTATAGTTAAAAAGAAACAAACTAACTTTTTTTCTTTA